CAGGAGACTCGCTTGAGCCCAGGAGTTGGAGGTTGCTGTAAGCTGTAATGCCACGGCACTCTACCCAGGGGTACAGCTTGAGGCTCTGTCTCAAAAAAATAATAATAATACTCAGAGTTCTTAATCTAGTCTGCACACAACCAATCCATCAGCTTACCTCCTATACTTAACACAGAGTCTTGCATATTATGAACCTACCAGCTTGATCTGATTAAATTACTCTAAAATAAATACTAACTGGCTCAAATAAATTGCTTATGTGATTGTATGGTATGTATGTGTCTTCCTTGATTGATGCTTTTTCTTTCCTAAAATATCCATAAAAGCCAAAATTTCATTTAAGCCCGAATTTTGGTTCAGATGAAAGAAAAAAGAAAGGTTATTAACTACCAATTCACCACTCAAAACTGCAAAAAGAGTCACCCTACAGTGAAATAACACAAAGCACACATCATTTATTTTATATATACATAAAATGTGTCATTGCTCTTAGATGGAATTGAAATTTGCCAAGTTCCACAACCTACTCAGTCTTAATCAGCTCTGTCTCTGCCTCAGCTCTGGCAATTCCCACACTGTTTACATGAGAGAGAGATAAAGAAAGGAGTGGGCCATGAACAGTGATTATTAGGCTCTGGTTTGGTTCAAATAAAGTGCAAGGCTACATTTTAAAATGACCTCAGCATTTAAAATGATGAATGTCCTAGTCCTCCCACATTTGTGAAGAGAAACAGCAATAATAACATTAAAAATCTGATAAGGATGGTTTTACCTAATCATGCACATTTAGCTAAGTAAATTAACTTACTTTTACAAATTATATAAATATTTTTAATAAACACATATAATGAAAAAATACAACCTAAACATTACCTGTAAAATCAGAAGGAAAAGGAAATAGGCATTTGCCACTCTTTGGAACTGTTCAAATAAATTAATTGGCAAGAAGGTGAGAATGTTGTACTTGGATGTGTGGATACGATTATCCTGAAAAAGAAACAGCATCACTTTAGTGTGGGACAAGGCATTGCTTGTTATCAGAAATAGCTCTTAAACTTACAAGACTAAGCATGAGTTGTGCCAGAGCAAAAGAGATAAGCTGGTTATCTAGGAAATTTAAGTGCTATGTGGCCCAAGGCCTTCATTTTTCCTAAGATGACATAGTTCTGATACTAAGTAAAATTGTTGGTCAGTGACATAAAATCATCCATGACTAAAAAATACATCAAATGCAAAGTCCACCTCTGAGATTTTTTACTCTAATCCATCTGTTAATTTGGTAGATATTGCTTGACTACCTATTGCACCTACTGTATGCAGGCACTGAATTCTTGCTGGGGCCCATGAGATTGGGAAAACTTCAGTGATGGCCTGGTCCCTCTTACCAAAGCATGGCACCTTTAGATACCCCTAACAAGCAGTGTCTAGCCTTCTATCTTTGCAGGTCTCCTATGGTGGGAAATGAATTGCCTGGCAAGATTGCCTGTCCCCACTTCAGAATGCAAATTGCTGGAAATGTCTTTCTTATGAGAAACCCAAATCTAGCTCTATATAACTTCTTGTCATATGCCACATTTCATCCTTGGGCTCACATAGACCAAGTGTGAGGCCTTTCCCAGTGATAACCTTCAAATATTGGAGGACCACTCATAGGATTCCCCTGATCTTCTCTGCTCTGATCTAGGCATTCTCAAACACCTCAGCCATTCTTCATGAATCATTTTCCTGACCAGCCTCTTTTGGATCTATCTCAACTTCTCTGCATCTCTCTTAAAACATGGTGCCCAGAGCCAAACACAAATTTCAGATCTGGCACAACCAGTTCACATACAGCAGAGACTTACATGTTCTGTGTTCTGAACTATTGGCATGCATAAAGATTTCATTAGCATTTTGGCAACTATAGCTCTCTATGTATTCATACGGAATTTTGATGAACTAAAATCATTAGATCATTTTTATATAAATCACTATTAAACCAAGTTTCCCATTCTAAATATTTACAGTTGATTTTTTTCTATATTGATGTATAAGATATTTCCTATTATACCAGTTTAATGAAAAAAAAATTTAATCTTAAGCATACTATCTAAGTATTAAATATTCCTCCCAGCTTTGTGTCATCAGAAAATTTCACACACATGCAATTTATATAATCCTTTCAAAGCTGCAAACAAATACATTAAAAAGAACAGTGCTAAGGACAAAAATAATTTTAAATTAAAACAACAGAACTATAGAAAACGACTAGAGAACTCTCTAAAGATTAACATTAACACCATTTTCATGAATTATATAAAAAATACTAAATACGTTTTATGTAAACATCTATAAATCTAACTATACTCCCCTGAGGCTTAACTCTATATTATCCACAAAGATAACATGAGAAATCAAGGTTGACAGGTCTTGCTGAATTCAGAATCAACATGCCCAGAATAGTATTTTGTAAATGATATTAGTTTGGTGTGACTTGTTTTAAGTGAAGCTACACTGGCTTCTAGTAAGTAATCACGGCTCCCATTTGAAGAAAATATAGTGAGTTCCCTCTGTTAAGCCACCATTGTTAACATTTACCAGGAATCAAAGTGTCCAGCTCTGTACTGCAAGTTGTGGGAAAGTCAGAAGAGGTGTCAAGAGAAGTGTTTCCACTTTACTGGGTCTGATGCACAGAAATATGCTGAGAACTGTGAGCTGAAGATAACTATTTTAGAGTATATTAACTACCCCAGAGTTGGACTGGGAAGGCAGGCAGAGGATACATATGTTTCTCTAAATGAGAGACTTAGAGAAAATAATAGGGAAAAAGAAAGCTAAAGATAAAAAAAAAAAAAACAGTTAACCAAAAGGATCACATATTCCTAATTCTGTTTTTTATTTTCCTTCTAAGTTAAAGCTAAACTAAGGGTTAAATTGGCATCGTACTAAAAGGACAGATAGAACATCTGTAACAGTCAAAACCATGGCAGGAATTATAAAGACATTCTCCTACTAAACTGATTCATATAGGTAAAGAGCCAATTTTGTGGAATAAAGTGATAATGCCAAACAGAAACTATGACAATTTTCTATTTCCTTAGCTTGACTTAAAGCAACAATTGTGTTTTTTCTACTGGCTCTGTTGTAACTTAGTCACAGATGATGCAAATCCTCACTGCTTTAACTGGAAACAAGGAACACGGGCTCCCCCTCCTGGAGAATCTACTTTCTTTTGTTTTTCAATCAAAAGGAAAACATGTTTCTCTTTCCAATGCCCTGTCCAAGAATATAAGACTATGTTGTTAAGATTTTAAATCCGACATGTTAATGATTAGTCATTTCGTTGAACCAGCCTATGGGCTTCCAGTCTAATTTTTATTGAGCTCATTCCATAATACAGCACAGAAGATCTTCATCACCAACTATCCTGTCAGATCTGTTTTCCACCATGTTTCCACTAGAAGCATCCCAATCCAGAAGAAGAAGGAAGAGAAGGAGGAGGCTGAGAAGGAAGAGAGGACAACAACAAGGGAGGTGGAGAGGAAGAAGAAGCACCTGGACAACCATTTAACATCTGTGGTGTTGGTTGAAGTTTCTTCTTCTTAGCTAGGTGGGCTGGTTAATTGGCCCCATGATGAGGTGGACTTAGGCACACAGGCAGAGGCAATGGCAGACCAGGGCAGACTGCCCCTGCAGTGGGAGAGAGCCTGTCCCTACATAAGCGTGAGAAACCACCTCTTCCCTGTGGGCACCTCACTTCCAAGAGGGAGAAGGGCAGAGCTGAACTGAGGCCCATTATTCCTCCAAGACTGAACCTTCAAGTAAATGACTCTGTTGCCCATGGGGCAGAGTGATGTAAAGGGTGAAAAAAAATTGTCACACCAGTAGAGAGTCTTCCACCTGGAAGGCAATGACAGAATGAGAACAAAGCATTGCTTCTTTAAATATTTTCATATAAATACCCTGAGATATGCGGAACATGACACACTGGGCAATGCAGAAGACTATGGGGCTAGACTATAGAGGTCAGTATGGATGGACTAGAGGGAGAAGTTCCTTGGAATACATACTAAAGATCTTAGTCTCTTATGTACTGAGAAAATTATTAAAAGATTCTAAGCACACATACATACACACAAAAAGAATAAATTGGAGAAGACACAGAACAGATGTGAAAAGAACAATGAGGAAGTCTTTGAATGAGTCCAGGTGAGAGAAAATGGGCAGCATGGACCATAATGGTGGCAGAAGGAATGACATGCAAGATTAACAATAATAGATACTTATCAAGCTCTTACTGTATGTACTGTTCTAAGAGTTTTACATTTTATAGTTCATTTTATCCTCACAACATCCTGATGAAATAGGTACTATTTTGCCCATTCCTTAAAGAGAAGTCAAAGGTTCAGAGAGATTGTGTAGCATACACAAGTTTCCCCAGATTCTAAGTAGTGATAGAGCCAAGGTTTGAAAACAAGCACCCTGCTCTACAGCCTACTCCGCTCACCACTGTAGGGCCCTGAGTCACTGAAAAGTGAATGTCTCCCCTGCTTTCTGAAGAAACAGAATGTCTCTTCTGTTCTCTGAATTAGCAAACAGAGCACATGGAGAGTTTGCCTCAATTTTTCCACAGGTAAAATGGAGCTAATAGTATATCTAACATGGTTACAATACTATGACAGTGTTAAGAACATAGATATAAAAGCATTTTTCCTAAGGTGAAAGAATTACACCAATATAGGATTTCTATGAGTAATCCCCAAATAATCCAAGTGGATTAATAAATACAATGTACTAGCTAGGATAAATTGGCTATGCCACAGTAACAAACAACTCCACAATCGTCACAGCTTAACACAGTAAGAATTCATTTCTTGCTCATGCTATTTGTCCAACATGAATCTGCTCATCACAGTTATTCATGAACCTGCCACCAGCTCAAATGCTTCCAGGTGCAATACCAGAGGGAAAGAGAAAGCCCTGAAGAGCCTTATGCCCATATGTTAATGCTTCAATGCAAATGCTCACAACTCACTGGCCAAAGGAGTCAACGTGTGTTCAAAAGATAGAAAGCTAGAAGTGCCAGTGGACAGCATTATTGGCCACCACAACCAGAAATAGAAACTCATCTAAAATTCTGACAGCATCTTACACTCTTAGAATGTATGTTAGCTACAAAAGATATCAAAACCAACCTCAGTGCTCCAAATCCAGTCCTGTTAATACCAGGTATAATAGGCATTTGGCTATTTTCCTCTCCCTGTGAGCTGACAGTGTTCTAAATGTCTCAATTCCGTGATCTGGATGAATTTAACTCCCATCCATAACTCCAGGGTTGGACCCAAATTAATCTGAACCAACTGGATGGCCCATCCTCCTAATCATAATTTTGAGTTCAGAGATTGGCACATAACTTAATTCCTGCAATATATAGGCTTTCTCTTTCCTATTGTACTTTGACCTGGAAACAAGTAGCCCTGGGGGTCATTAACAGCATTTGGGGGTCAGGAGTGTGGAGGCTGCCAAGATTAAACTCTACAATGAATATGCAGGGCCATGAAATGCAGAGAAAGAAACTAGACCATTCAACTAGACTAGAAATGCAGAGAAAGAAACGTTTCAGAAGCTTCTTCTGAAACGAGCCCTGTTGCTGAACTTTTCAATCGTATAATTTGTTCATTTCTTTTATTGTCTAGGTCAACTGGAGTTGTTTTTTCTTTTATTTCTAACCAACCAAACACCAGGTAAGCATTCTTTTCATGTATTTGTTGGACATTCATCCTTATGAGAAAAGATTCTGTGCATGTCTCTTGCCCAGTTTTTAATGGGGTTGTTTGTTCTTTTTGTTGTTCTTGATTTGCTTGAGTTCTTTGCAGATTCTGATTTTTAGCCCTTTGTCAGATTTGTAGCATGAAATATCTTCTCCTACTCTGAAGGTTGTCTCTTTGCTTTGTTGTTTGTGTCCTTAGCTGTGCAGAAACTTTTTAACTTGATAAGGTCCCATTTAT